CTGCGGGGACACGGGGACACTGTGGGGACACCGTGGGGACACCGTGGGGACACGGGGACACTGTGGGGACATGGGGACACCGTGGGGACACAGGGACAGGGAGCTCCTGGTTGGCCGAGAACTTCTGCTTGTACTTGTGGGTGTTGCTGAAGGGCATGGTGGCACTGCGGGGACACTGTGGGGACATTGTGGGGACACCGTGGGGACATGGGGACATGGTGGGGATTGGGACACGGGGACAGCCAGGTGACACCAGGGACACCGTGTGCCACAGGAGGGACACGGGGGGGACATGGGGACAGCCAGGTGACACCGGGGACACCGGGGACACCATGGGGACATGGTGGCACCGTGGGGACATGGGGACAGCCAGGTGACACCAGGTGACACCAGGTGACACCATGGGGACATGGTGGCACCGCGGAGACACGGGGACAGCCAGGTGACACCGGGACACCGTGGGGACATGGTGGCACTGTGGGGACACGGGGACAGCCAGGTGACACCAGGTGACATCAGGTGACACCGGGGACACCGCGTGCCACAGGAGGGACACGGGGGGGCTCTGGGGCGTGTCCTGGTGGGCGTGTCCAAAGGGGCGTGGCTAAAGGGGGCGTGGCCACCAAAGGGGCGTGGCCACCAAAGGGGCGTGGCCGCCCCGCTCCGCTCCTTGTTCGGGCCGGGGCTATTTATAGCCCGGGGGGGAACCGGGGGTTGGGGGGTCCCGGTGACACCGGGGGGGTCGGGACCCGGTCCCGGTGACACCGGGGGGGGTGGGGACCCGGTCCCGGTCCCGAATTCCGATCCCAAATCCCGGTCCCAAATCCCGGATCCGAATTCCGGTCCCGGTGACACCGGGGGGGGTCGGGACCCGGTCCCGGTCCCAAATCCCGGACCTGAATTCCGATCCCAAATCCCGGTCCCGGTCCCGGACCCGAATCCCGGTCCCGGTGATACCGGGGGGGTCGGGACCCGGTCCCAGTCCCAAAGCCCGGTCCGGAATTCCGATCCCAAATTCTGGGCCCGAATTCCGGTCCCGGTGACACCGTGGGGAGGGCGGTTCGGGGTCGGGTCCCAGTCCCGGTCCCGGACCCGAATCCTGGTCCCAAATCCCGGTCCCGGTGACACCGAGAGCGTTCGGGTCCCGGTCCCGGTTCTCAGTCCTGAATCCCGAACCCAAATCCCGGTGCCGAATCCCGGTGCCCGTCCCGGTGACACCGTGGGGGGGGGGTCGAGTCCCTGTCCCGGTCCCGGTCCCGAATCCCGGTCCCGGTGACACCGGGGGTGTCCCGACCCTTCCTGACTGTCCCGGTCCCGATTTGGGTCCCTGGGGGTCTCCCGGGGGGCGTGGGGGGGGTCCCGGGGAGGTCCCGGTGGGTCCAGGTTGTCTCGGGGGGGATCCCGGGGATCTCCCGGGGGGTCCCGGTGGTCCTGGGGGGGTC